CGAACTTCAAGTTTGTGAAGGGGGATATTGGAAGTGCTGACCTTGTCAACTACCTTCTCATCACTGAGTCTATTGACACAATAATGCACTTTGCTGCTCAAACCCATGTTGACAACTCGTTTGGTAATAGCTTTGAGTTCACCAAGAACAACATATATGGTACTCATGTCCTATTAGAAGCCTGCAAGGTAACTGGCCAGATCAAAAGGTTCATCCATGTGAGCACTGATGAGGTATATGGGGAGACAGATGAAGATGCTGTTGTTGGAAACCATGAGGCTTCTCAGCTACTTCCCACAAATCCATACTCTGCAACAAAAGCTGGGGCAGAAATGCTTGTGATGGCATATGGTAGGTCGTATGGGTTACCTGTGATCACCACAAGGGGAAACAATGTTTATGGGCCAAATCAGTTTCCCGAGAAGTTAATTCCAAAGTTCATCCTCCTGGCTATGCAAGGGAAGCCTCTTCCAATTCATGGGGATGGTTCAAATGTGAGGAGTTATTTATATTGTGAAGATGTTGCTGAGGCTTTTGAAGTTATCCTTCACAAGGGAGAGGTTGGGCATGTTTACAATATTGGTACTAAGAAGGAAAGGAGAGTTATTGATGTAGCCAAAGATATATGCAGACTTTTCTCAATGGACCCAGAAACTAGTATCAAATTTGTAGAGAACAGACCATTTAATGACCAGAGATACTTTCTTGATGATGAAAAGCTGAAGATCTTGGGTTGGTCTGAGAGGACCACATGGGAAGAGGGCTTGAAGAAAACCATGGACTGGTATATCAACAATCCTACTTGGTGGGGTGATGTTAGTGGTGCATTGCTTCCTCATCCAAGGATGCTGATGATGCCTGGTGGGATGGAGAGATATGGATCTGAAGAAGAAAAACCCGCATCATATGTCTCAACTAATACAAAAATGGTGGTTCCATCATCGAAGAATGTTGGCTCTTTGCAGAAACCTCTCAAATTCTTGATCTATGGCAGAACAGGTTGGATTGGGGGTTTGCTGGGGAAATTGTGTGAAAAGCAAGGAATTCCCTATGAATATGGAAAAGGGCGCCTAGAGGATCGCGCATCACTTGTGGCTGATATTCAAAATGTGAAGCCAACACATATTTTTAATGCAGCTGGTGTGACTGGCAGACCCAATGTTGATTGGTGTGAATCTCATAAAACCGAAACCATCCGCGCCAATGTTGCTGGGACTTTAACATTGGCTGATGTCAGCAGAGAGCATGGACTCTTAATGATAAATTATGCTACTGGGTGCATATTTGAGTATGATGCAGATCATCCAGAGGGTTCTGGCATTGGTTTTAAGGAGGAAGACAAACCCAATTTCATTGGTTCTTTCTATTCCAAAACTAAGGCTATGGTAAACTTGCTTACATGATATGGTTTCATTCCCTTTCCATTATGATTATGAATATCTCTAATAATTTGTCTCTGAATTTTCATCAGGTTGAAGAGCTCTTGAAAGAATATGACAATGTATGCACCCTCAGAGTTCGCATGCCGATTTCATCTGACCTGAGCAATCCACGGAATTTCATTACCAAGATTTCTCGCTATAGCAAAGTTGTTAACATTCCAAACAGCATGACTATTTTGGATGAACTTCTGCCTATTTCAATTGAGATGGCAAAGAGGAACTTGAGGGGCATATGGAACTTCACAAATCCTGGGGCTGTGAGCCATAATGAGATTCTTGAGATGTATAGGGATTACATTGATTCAAACTTCAAGTGGGTTAACTTCACACTTGAAGAACAAGCCAAGGTGATAATTGCTGCACGAAGCAACAATGAGATGGATGCATCCAAATTGAAGAATGAGTTCCCAGAGTTGCTTTCCATCAAGGAATCACTGATCAAGTATGTCTTTGGGCCAAACAAGAAAACTGCTTAAAAATTTTATTAAGCAGTTTCATGTTTTGGACATCACAAACTAAGCATATTTTTTGTCTGGCTACGTAGATCACTCATTATTTCATTGTTAGTTCAATCATGTTACTGTGTTTAGAGGGTGACAATTATTATAATTGGGTTAGGTATGATTTCTAAGTTCTACATTTCTATAGCTTTATTTTATATTATAATGTCCTTTGTTAAGAGCAGCCCTTTAAATAGGGTCTTGTTACCTGAAAACTTGCCACGTGCAACTTTGGCATCCTGGAAGACGTGCTTCTTTAGTGCTTATATATATATTTTTTGTGGGTTATGCAGTGAAATGGATGCAATTGAAATATTCTTTTAATTTTCTTCAGTTATCGTAAAAAAATGTTATATAGTAATTGAGTTCATGGAGAATACAAATTCGACAACAACGATAGTATTTGGCCCCTATTAACCACATAAAGAAAAAGAAAACTACTAATTACTAAATTCAGCAACCTGTTCAAGACATTCTTGAGATAGTGTTAGTCCGAATTACTACCCGGATTTTTTTTTCAATAATAATATTTATATAACTTCGCAATTATACTTTTGTCATGAATAATTTTTTCAAATCTTAAATGTTTAAGCAAAGAATCATTGACCACTTTTATATCTATATAGTTATGTTATGATGGACCGACACTTCAAAAATTCACACTTCAAAAATTCTGATGTGTCATGTCTGATATTTTCTGACACTCTCCGACACTTTAACACATTGCATAGACTTGAAAAAGGGTTCAAAATTTACATTACATCGTGTTTTTAGTTTCAACTATTAGATTCGTTGGATTATAATTATCATTTTATTAAATATAATATAAATATTTGGGATATCTTATGTTTCTTTGCAAAATTAATGGGTATTATTAGTTTATCTTTATTTTTTGTTAAATTATTGAATTTAAATATAATATACATTACATAAATTAAAATTATTATTTAATATCAAAATGTGTCCTAATGCGTTAAATTTAATATTTTTTAAAATTAACGTGTCAGAGTGTCGTGTCGTATGTGTCTCGTGTCCCGTGTGTGCGGATTGACACAAATATCTTTACTTGATTTGAAAAAAAAAATTATTATCACATGAAAAATGTATATTATTCATTATAAACAAACTTTAATTATTATCAAAATTTTAACATTCAATTCATCCATATATATATATATATATATATATATATATATATATATATATATGGTTCATTAATCTTATGTTACATGAAAGATCTTCTCTCATGTTGTAGATATACATATGGTGGAGTTTGCCATTTAAAAGAAAAAAAGAAAAAAAAGGAGTGTCACAATTTTCAATGGGTGTGTAGGAGATAAAACTACTCTTATGTTGCATAAGAGTAGTTTTTTTCCATATATATATATATATATATATATAGGGATAGGTTATTGTGTCTACTCCTATTTTACCTACTTTTACCCACCCTCTCAATATCGTTGGATTACAATCTAATCCAACGATCCATATTTGTAAAATAAAATAAACCCTTCTACCTCATTTCTCTCTCCTCCCGCTTCTCTCTTCTTACGCTATACCTAATTAAAATTTTTATGCCTTTCATCACCGATGTCTGCCGCGCTTGCTGTGAATTTTGGTTAACGATTGATAATAAAAAACACATTTAGCCAACCCCGAATAGACCAACGTACATTTACAATTTTGGGGATCATACCGCATCGATTGCGTGATTTCTAATTTCATAGTTTTGGGTAGATGGACTGACAGATTCTTGTTGCATTTAGTTGTAAATATCATTGCATTCTATGATTCAAACAATTTGTACAATGATTCAAACAATTTGCACAATGATTCAAACAATTTATAATTAAAAACAATTTGTTACTTAATTTACAGACCAACAGCGTTTCAAACAATTTGTTTCCCAGAGTAGAGCAAGAATGGTGGTAATTATCAAACTTTTATCACACTGTGTCGTGCATTCTCTGCGGTAGTTCTGTTCTCAATTTGGGAACTCAGAAACACAAGGATAAGTACAATGATGGTATTGATAACTTTGTCGTCCAGGAAGAGAGAAAGGTAACGGGAGGAGAGAAAGGAGAGAAAAAGGAAGAAAGGGAGAAAAAATGTTTATTTTATATCGCAAATATATAGATCGTTGGATTAGATTGTAATCGAACGGTGATGAAAGAGGTAGGCAAAATAGGAGTAGGCAGAATAACCTATCCCTTATTATTTATTCAATGTTATTCTATAACCTAAAATCAGTATCTTTTCATCCCTCCTGAGATATGCAAGAAAATATCAAATATGAGCTTTATCTACCTGTAGAAAATATCAAATCTGCCTGTGCATTTACTTCAAACCAAATATCGTCTTAATTCTTAACAAACTAAGAAAAAAAAGGGTAACCGCTCAACAGGATATTAGTTGATTAAAAAACTAAATAAATTTTAGCAAATTACGTGACTTGTTAACATGAGAGAAAAAAGGGTAGCCGCTCACTTGGAGGGTTGTGTACTGTAGAGCAGGGAGGAAGGGGAAACGATAAGTAATAATAATAATAAAATAAGAATCCGTGTTTGAAGATGGAGGAAGAGGAATACAGATTCTCAGAAAGTGCATATAAAGAAGAAGAGAGATCACGAGGGAAGAGAGAGAATCTAAGAAGAATGGTTTCGGAAAATAAAATTAAAAAACTGTTATAAGATTTTGAAATTTGAAAATAACATAAAGTAATAATGATGATAAAAGAATTGAGTTTAATTTTGATAAATTATTAGTATAACAAATTTTATTTAATGAGTTTAAACAAATACATAAAATATCAAAATCATCATATAATTTTATTTATAATATAAAATTAAGAAACATGCATAGTACATTTTATTATGTATATTTATTATAAAACTTGATGTTTTATTTTAATATATATTGTTATATATAAATATTTAGTTATTTTATTACCTGATTCGACTATCCGTTTAACCAATTAAATCATGGTCTGCTTACCAAAAAAAAAAAAAAAAAAAAATCATGATCTGAAGATTTTTCCAATTCGAGTTTTCCTTCGGCTTTTAAAACATTGACTGCTATTCTTCAATTTTCAACATTGTAGTAAGAATCAACCTACAGTTACAGATAAAGTCATGTTTGGAATGCACATTCGCTAGAGAAGCATACAGAAAGGCCATCCTCTTATGCAGAAGACAAAGTAAAGTTTTCTAAATAAAGCACGAACTTGTACAGGGAAATTCTGTGAGACTAAAATGGCTACATAATTTATCTTTCAATGTTAGCATGTGAATGAAGTAGGATTGCTAGGATATACCAAATTCTGAAGCTGGAAGTACCCTAAGGAGCAAAAGCATGGAATCTCAACTAATTCAGACACTAGGTAATAAAGAGTTTGAAGATGCATCAGCTAGTTCCTTGAGGAATACAACAACGTCATCTGATGATCCAAGCGTATAGCGAGCATTTGTTTGAGTTCGTCCAACAGAACATGAGAAGTAATTCTCCTTCTTGAGGTCAAGGACATTCCAAGAGACCTTTTCAGGAGCTTGCCGCTTTGGTGCACGGCAGATATGATTATTTGTTTTTTTCTCAGAATTTGACAAAGGACGTTGTCCCTTATTATGAGATGACTTTGTTCCATTTTTACCAGCTGGGATCTTCAAGGACGATGTCCTCTCAACAGGATACTTAACTCCATCTGTTGCCTTACTTCGTGTAAAACCCACACCAAGATAAGGAAGCTCTGGCTCAAAAAAGGAATATATATCTTCATCCTGCTGCATTCAATAATGTTCAATTCAGTTGCATACAGTACCAATCCCGCTATTTTATTTTATTTTTTTTAATTTTTAAATGCTCATCAGCTAAATGTAAAGCATGACACACATAAAAGAGCACCAGAGATCGAAACACTTTAAATCAAGAATACTTCGTGAAAATCATCCAGACTCTTAACATGAACCTTTTAATGGATTTAACTAGAAATCGGATGTGGAAGAAAAAGAGCTAGGAGTAGAATACATCAAACATATCCACATGCATTTGCTAATAGAAACAAAAATAATTTTAACTTAAAACACTTTGCTTTACATGCCTAAGATCTTAATGTTAATATTTCATTATAGCAAACAGAACTATGTTAGGATCACAAATGAAGCCCAACCAGCAAATTGACGGAAAGTGTAAAATACTAAGTTCTATACCAAAGAAACAAGATTTTGCCAGTGGTTGAGGTAGGTAGCACATAAAAATATCGAATGTGAAGTTCAAAACTTAGTGAAAATTCAAAACTCTTCAGATCAAGAGTTCTAATTATAATCTAATAAACTTAGGAGATGGAATGAAATATGACGTTAGCAACGGTAACTTCCAATTATCTGATGAAATCTCTGTTTTCGTACTTCAGGAAAGCTTTGTTGAATTTTATCCCAGTGTGTTCACCAAATTTTTAGGTTACACTTTTTCCATTATATCACATAAGAAAGTTTGTGCAGTGTAAGGCTTAACGAGGTAAAGGTGCAAGCATATGCTAGACAGTCTTGCATGCTACCGAAACAATTTACAATTAACACTTATCATATATGAAACCATGCTTGTAAGAACATTAAAAGCAAAATTTATCATATTAGACAGATAAACAAGATAATAAAAGCAATTCGCAAAATATATCAAATGAAAACTTAATTCACCTTCGCCAGAAAATGTCCTACGCACAGAACATAATCAATTGGTGTTGTCATGGATTTACTGTGGACTATCTCACCAAGGATGCGGTCAATAGCTGCTCCCTGATTAAATAAAGATTTGGTGTATACATTTTAATCATTACGAAACTTTTCAGATGAAAACAGAACTTGGAAGAATCAATATTATAAACAAGAGGTCACCTTCGTAACGCCAGCAGCTCGCACCTCAACAGATCGGCTCCCTTGAACAACTTCAACTGGTGCATTAGAAATTGGACCTGTCCAGAGATGCTGAAGCATGTCCCTTGCTTGGAGTCTTCCAAACTCAACATCTATGATCATTGTGAGAGGATTAGTAACTGGAAAGACAGCAGGCAGAACACAAAATAGTCTCCCTAAAAACAACTCAAGCACCTGCGTGTTTGTAATTCCATACAAGTGAAGCTTCCCTTTCTTCGAAATGTGACCGAGGTGTTCTTTCTTTGAAGTATTCAAAAACTTGCTGAAAATACAGGATCACCAATGTAAGTCAATATTGTGAAGGAGAGGGGCACAATCAAAAGAATTGGAACTTAAAAATCAAGTACCTTCACGCTATCAACCCACTCCATATTCAGTTGCTCTGGCATTGTTGTCATCCATTCTCCCTTTGAAGGGTTTAAAAACATCCCATTCTCTGCTGCCAGCCACATGTCATATTCTTTAAAGTTCTGTAATAGCAATAAGTTAAAAGTGGATCGAGTAGTTCACAAAGAAGGAAGTAATGTACCAAGAATTACTTCATCTAGAATTGTTCTTTTACTTCCACTAAGCACAACAACTGTTGTCTTCGGGTCGCAGCAAAGTGCTGTCAAGGGTTGTTTCAGTTCTGGATGCACTGCGAGTTCCATTTCTTTATACTGATCACCTTTTTTCTCGACTGGTTCAGTTAAAGTTCCATTGAATCCCTGTAGAGTGTATCACCGATGTTAATGGAAAATGTTAATAAAAAAAATGACAAAAGCTAGTTCATGATATAATGGTAATGGTTTTAATCTGGGATTTGCAAAATCAAGGAAACACAACTTTGTAATTGAATTCATTTCTCTGATTAAGTCTAATAACATCTGCACATCCAACAGAAACACAAACATTCCATATTTCAATAAGAATATAGCTTCATGCCCAATTAATCTTTCAGAAATATTGATCTTATGATTTTTCCAGATTCCTTGACTACTTTTACAGCATTGAATGCTGTTTTTGTTCATGACTTCTTGTATTGAGGTACTACGACAATTATCCTTCACTTATCAGGCATCTTGTTCATCTTCACTGTTTGGCTATAAACAATGGTATAAGGCCAAGCCCCATATGTATTTTCAGACGCTTAAGAAGAATTTGGACAGGTGATACAAAAGGAATATCAAGCTCTTGTAATTTTCCCCACAGTTCCATCTCTGATAACTACATCATTTTTAAGCTAAGTTCATATATATTTACAATGGAGTCACCCAATACAAAATTTGGTCATTTCATTATATAGGAGTTTCCTTTAGTTCAAAAAGGGTAGGGGAGGATAAACATGCATTTTGTTGGATTTCAGGAGAAAATGTTTCCCTTTTGAACTGATGACTCAAAAAGGTCTGAAAGGGTTCCTTAAAGATCAGTATTCAAAGAAGTCATAAGCTTCGTGATAAGATAGCATACCAAAATAAGCAATCGATTAGTTGACTGTAGGTATCGCTCAATTGCAGTCGTGGTTGGGAGCCGTGGTGGAACTTGTTTAGTCCTTAGCTGTGCCTCAACAACAGTATCATTCAGTTCGCTGTAAAAATTCAAAGATAACGTTCAACAAGTTATTGTGGATCCATCTTAAAAATCCTAGCAAGAGATATATTCCTCAATAACATATTTTGGTTCATAATCAAAATCAGGCATCTGCATTTTTTTCTACAATTCCAAAAAATTGGCATCACATGTAAATAATCATCATATTTAAGTATAATTCTATCTACATAGTTTTACAGATTTTTCCCAATCAACAGACTATAATAATTAGGCAAAACAAGCAAATAACTTCCACTATTATTTAAGAAAAACCACCAGAATTATGGTTTGGAGTCTGAACTGCGGACTAAATGAATCAGTATCTATAAAATCAACAGGCACTAATAAGGTACATTGCCCTTATTATAAATCAGAAACTTCTAACATATAAGAACAGATATTGAGAAGACCAATATGTATACCTTACAAAAGTTTCTGCCCATTCCTGGGCAGTGTGGGTTTTTACATGAAGAAAGTTATGCCTATGTCTCTTCTCTCTTTCCGCAGAAGGCATATTCAGAGCCTTGGCAATTGCAGCAGCAACTTCTGTGATGTTCCAGGGGTTGACCAGAATTGCCCCAGCACCAAGAGACTGTGCAGCACCAGCAAACTACAAGAAGAATATCAAATACCAAATGTCAGATGTCAGATCAAGAGGATACATGCCTATTTAAAACAACAACTGAGTATTATCCCACAAAGTATAGATATCTAATTAAAAGGAAGAATATGCAAAAGTTAATTTAAACATCCCATAGATGAGAGGCACTGAGAGCTTTCTATAAACAGAGATTAGAAATATAAATCTATAATCTTGACAGGAATAAAGAGATGAAACTTTTTATCTTAACGATAAAGGTTTTGAACTGAATCTGTGTTATTTTCCTTAGAGGCAAGCTGCCTATGTATATACAATATATACAGAGACATTCTCCCATAATTAAAGGAGAATTGATTATTACAATTAGGGTGACAGATCTCTACCAAACTAATGGCAGTTGTCTACTGTAAATAAGGAAAGGAATCTACAATACACAAGGAAATAATACACAGGAAAGCAAACAGAAAATAAATATGGAATAATTGCAAACAGTATCTCTTATGTCAGAGAAGATATCACAGCATATCTTATAAGTTTTAAGGAGAGTGGGGTGTCTGGGGGCAGTTCAGGAAATTTTTTATCAAGTTATCACGGCTATCATAATTTAAAAACGTAGGACTGTAGTAGGGTAGAGATTTCCATCTTCTAACTATTGAATCTATTCTCTGCTGAACAATTATTCAACATTAACATAGCCTGAATTGAGAAATTAAAATAAAAGACAAATACACTAATAGGTTTCTGCAATTACTTCGCTAAGAATGAGAACTCCTTTCTTTTTATCTTGGCAGGCCACAAATTCGTAACTGACAAGATTCATTCCATCCCTCAAAGATGTGACAAGTGCTACATCTGGGTAAGAAATAGATAGTATAAATACGTTATTGGCAGATTATTGGCAGAAAATTTACAGTAAATTTTTTTGAATATAAGCAATAAACAAAATTAATTCTTCATAAACATTTGAGAATTCAGGGAACTATGTAATAAATTCAGATTTAGTAGACTTGAGGCAGTGCTCTAGGCATATTCGGCATACTTTCATCTTTTCCCAAAATATAGGTCCCAAAATATATTTAAAGCCTGACTTCATTTCAGACATGCATACAAGTTTTTAGTACTGATACTGTGTATAAAAAATAAAAAATTACCAGTGGCCAGAGCAGTAGAAGCATGTTTTTTGTTGTAAATGTGGTGTACGTGTGACTTGAATTTGATAAGAAAAATAGATTCCATTTTGTTATATTTCTCTTGCATGGTTATTTCCATAAACCACTTTTTTTCATAGTTCATAAACATGGCATCAAACACAAGAAATTACTGAAGAAGTTACAAGTGTTGGAAAAGAAGAGCAAACCTATATGTCAGTAAGTGAAGAGTAAATAACACAACTCAGCAAAATAATGTATTACTACTTCTCGTTTTTTTTTTTTTTTTTTACAACCGTTTTGTATCTTTCATGTGGGTTCATCTACCACCGACCCCAATTAACTTGGGATAAAGGTGATGTTGATGTTGATGTATTAGTTAAAAAAAGGGCATTCGTGCTGATCAAGGCAAGTAGAATATTGGAGATAACTCACACAGGCAATAAAATTGTAAAACAACACGGTAACATTTATACAAACCATAATATGTGTTAGTGCAACCATTCAGAAAGTGAAACGTCTCAAAACAGTTTATCACTATTTACAGACAGACCTTTGGTGTGCCATATAAATTCATACATGTTGGGAAATAAGAAACAGAAAAATGTAAATAACATTTACAAGGAATAGCTTAAAAGGGAAAGCTGAGGACCTACAAATGATACTAAGAATCATGTCTAAAAGAAAACTGAAACAAGTACTTTCCATTTTAGATAAATACGCATACATTACAAAACACATAAATTGACATCAGAAGTTAATCAAACAGTAGATATTTTCTCACATGCTGACTATTGGCAAATGGCAAAGGGCAGGTTGATATCAGAAGTTATTCATGGAAAGTTTAGTAAGAGAGAAAAAATCTGAAAGTACATAAATTGTACCCGTAACAGCATACAACGCACACAGTGCATGAAAATCAAGAGAGCGGTCCTGCAGGCATAGCAAATTCGTTAAGCCACCAAGCATAGCAATGTGATTAATAATAAAAAAAGGATGCAGACTGATCATCAGAATAAGCATATAAAAAGGTCAAATGTTACTTTTAATATATTATCTAAAAATTCATTGAATACCTGATTAGCAATCTTGGACATATTTCAAACATTGTATAATTACACCCACGCTTATAGTTGATTGTTATTGAAATTATGTTTTAAGGATAACAGTGTAATGTAGAATACTCTGAAGTTATGTTTTTAATTTCTCTTTATTTTCTCTCATTTTTTGGAGAAATTTGATTTTTGACAGCTTTAAATTTTAAAAAATTCCTCATTTTCATTCTTCCCATAATTCTCCTTAGTTTCACATACAATTTAAAATGAAATTTCCTTCTAAAATTCATTCTCCCAAATCAATCTCATTTTCATCCATTCCAAAGAAAGTGTTAGCATAAATACATAGCATTATTGGAATGAACAAAACCATATGCAACCAGTACTGCTGAATTAGATAATCTAATGAGATTTAAGTATCATTCACAGAAGATACATCTTGTATTGTATGGGATTGTGTATCAACATTAACGTAATGATGACTGTCTTAAGAACGCACCAGGTGATGTATAGGAACAGCAGTCAATGATCCAAATCTGCCATTGATGCGGCCAACAATTTCATGGACCTGGCTTGTAAGCTTTTGATCTGTAAATATGCAAGAATTAAAAAACCAAGAATACTGAGTAAATGCTCCACATGACAGTTTTTGAAGATATAAAATCATCTTGGGCTTCCACCTAAATCGCTTAAGCTTTTTGTAAAGTTGATCATGATACCCAATTAAGCATGTTCCAAAAAAAAAAAAAACTACACTCTTAAAAGAGATATAAAAGATCTACTAGATCTCTCTACCTAATAGCTTAAGCTTTAGAACGCTTAGTCTTTGATGTGGTACTGGAGCCTTTTTAACCATATGGTCAAGAGATTTATCCTTGCCACCAGCTAACAGCTTAAGCTTTTAGTGGAGCTAGTATTTAAAACATACATTGAAAGGAGAGAGAGCTGTAGAACTCCAGCCCGCAACAAAAACACTAAGCACATAAAATGCAGATTAAATGAATAGTGTTTATGATCACAGTACATTGATTGTGTACCCAATTTCAATAAAATATTTTTTTCATTAACGAAAATTTTTATACATGAATTTGAAAATACAATCAAATATGTCAGCCTATACTAGTTTAGAATACAAGAAATATTTTGGAAAGAACATTATTTTTATTTTTATTTTTATTTTTCCTTTTAAGCATAAAAAGACTTTCTTTATGTCCACAGTAAAAGTGTAATACAAACAACAAAGGAACCGAAGAAGCATTAAATCTTGCTTAGCATTGATCTTCCGCTTGTCAAAACAACAGAAAACAAATTGAAAAAGAGGGGCCTATTTTATTGCCTACTATCATATACTGAAGATGGAATAAGAAAATATGAAATAATATAAGCAGCATACACTCAGGAACATCCGTTCTTGTTGGCACAGCAATTTGAAGCAGAACGACTTTATCACGCCAAGAAGCATTCTCTTCCAAGAATTTTTCAAATGCTAGAATTTTTTGAGGGATTCCTTTGATCATATCAAGGCGATCAACACCTAACATTACCTGTCAAGCCAGAAAAAGGTTAAGGGATAGTCAAATGATAGAACCATTCAACCAAATTAAAGTAGCACTTTGCTCCGGAGAATCAAAGATATATATATATATATATATATATATATATATATATATATATGTATGTATCTTGACATCTCATGCCAAAATATACAACTTGTACAGGGAAAGCAATTTAATAATAAAGTGATTACTATATTAATGCTCAGTTACTGGAAGGATGCAACATAAATTTTTAAAATAAATAGTTATTAATATCACACAGTGCTAGCATGGCAGACAGTTGCTAAAGATTGAAGGTGATACCTTTCTACAAAGACAAATTGGCAGGATATAATTAACAAATGATAAAGCTTACCTGCAGACACTTTCAGCACTCTTAAATTAATAATAAGAAACATGAGATTTTGTTTTTAAGAAAAAGAAAAGACAAGAAACATAAGTTTGTTATGCTTAACTATTTACCCCTAAATCATTAATTTTTTTATATTAACAAGAGAAGAATCTTGCCTAAGGTGGTTTGTTATGTGAGGACTGAGGAGAAGACCAACAAATAGAGGCTCCTGTGAGAAAAGCAGATCAAATGGAAGATAATCTGATTAAAAGAGGTAGTGGAAGACCAAAGAAAATTTTAGAAGAAATCATTAAACAAGACCTTGATCTGAATGGTTTTTCTAAAAATCTGGTTTTTGATAGAGTACAATAACATCATACGATCCATGTTGCTGTTTTATTATTAAATGAGAACACAACAGACAACTAGTCCCTGCAAACCTAGAATTTGAGGTCATAATAGGCACACAAAGCAATCAATAAATTTAATACTGTAGAGTCTGCATACTTCAGAAATTAGCTTTAAAAACAAATTAAACAGAGCCTATCTAGAGTGACTAATAAGTTAGCAACACCATAAGCGAATAACGATGAGTAATTGTGGCATAGTGGATTGCTTGTATGGTGTATAGAGAAAGGTTCTGCCGTCATGTTCTATTTTCCCATTATTTTTTAAGATAATGGATTATAGGGATGATGTATTTTGTGGCCACTGGCCAGCAAGAGTAGCCATGGTCTTGATGCCTTTTTTTCTCTTTCTGTTCTATCTATCTAAATTGTTTCAAATGATACTAATATACTCTAGTGAAAAGCATCACTTAATTTTTTATCTATAATCCTTAACAGTGTTTAGCTTATCCAAAATTGCCATGATTCTCTAATCCTTAATTTCAATAGGAAAAAATATATATATATAATTATAAATATGAAACAATCTCAAAATAATAGGACCAACATGCACTACACATTATAAGATATAAACAAAAAAAAAAAGCAATTAACAAGGTAAAAGATGCACCTTTCTGCCTTTAAATCTTTCTTGTAATTCTTTGATGTGTTCCTGGACTGGAGGAAGGTCAAGTGCACGTATGAATCGTTGCGAGTCTATACCAATTGGAAACTGACATGCAAAGGCAACAGAAGTAACATCAACATCAACATCACCTTTATCCCAAACTAATTGGAATCGGCCGTAGATGAACCCAAATAAAAAACAAGAAAATGTTGAGAAAATAAATAAATAAGAGAAAAATATAGAGAAAAATGACTAAAAATAGTCATATATAACATAGGGAAAAAAGGGAACTACCCCTCCATAATGTTAGTAGTTTTCCTCTAATCCGTCCAAAGACATACCATATGTCAATTTATTTCTCACTCCATTAAGTCTTGTTTTATTACTTTTACCTAAATAAGTTTTGACCAACCTCTTCTTCAGTGTTAACAAACTTTTATATTCATGGGAGCCTCTACAAGTCTTCAAATAATATGTCAAATCATCTCAATTTATGTTTTCTCATTTTTTTCAGCCACCTATACTACTATATTTCGTCGAATATCTTCATTTTTTATCTTATCCATCTTTATATGACCACACATTCACCTTAACAACAACAAAACTAAATAAGTAGTTAATTTTGAGCTCATCACGTTAATTGGTTAAGGATAAAGAAGAACAGTTTCATTCAAAAAGTTTCTTTCACCCCCCATCTCCTTTTCATGGGTAAAGCTTGTTGTAAAATTTTCAATAAGTAATTCTGAATGTAAGTATGAAACATGTTATTGACAATTTTATGAGCACGTACTGCAGCAACTCGAGTCAGCTTCCCTTGATCCTCAACCCCTTCAGGTGTTCCCTCAAGTCCAAGGATGCGAGTACATGCACTAACAAAATGTCGTGCATAATCATAGGTGTGAAAACTGCTCAACAAAAATTACACTTAACAAAGTCAGGAGCAATGACAGTAATAGAAAATGAAAGTGATTAACTGGAAAAGACAACATATAGCATAAAGGTAAATCACAAAGTTTAGAACCTAAGAAATGAAAATAAAATAAAATAAAATAAAAGAGAGAATCTCAAACTAAATTGAAAATATTGGATCCTTCAGAGTCACAGAAGCAGCAAACTTCCATTTCAACATACATTTGTTTAGAAACTATCATGTATATATATTTGTGCGTGCGTGCGTGCATAAAAGACCACAAAGGGTCTAAGTGATACTGATTTAAAATCGAACCAAGCCCAATCAAATGTTTTGCATCTCTTTGACTGCTGGTTTGACTACAACAAGGAAACTACCAACACTTGGACTGCAGGCACTAGGTTCAGCCCCATTAATTAATTGGGGCAAGAATCACGTTATGACACTTAAGGACTTACGGATATTGGCCGATTAGTCAGAAAGGAAATTTAAAATGACATAATGCTGTGTGACTTCATAAAATATCCATGGCTCATGGAGGTTCATTTTTCAATCTTCATAAAAACTGACTTGAGACAAGTTCTGGACTAAAGATGACTATAATGAGTAAGCATAAACTGTTTAGAAAAGTTAGTTTACATGAAATTTTATTAGATTACAAATATTTAAAAAATTACATTCATCAAATCTTTATAGAAGTATAATGGGAGGATTATTGATGATATTCAAAGTGGGTCGAAAGAAGAACATAAAACTCCCTTCTTAGCAGATACATAGGATAGACAACATGTAGTGTGGCCATAGCACTAACCTCTATCTTTAGTACAGAGGAACTACATTCTCTATCATCTATTTTTGTTAGCAAAATCAACGCCTAGGTTGGATGGTTGATTGCCACTTCATATGCTCAACCAGTGGTATATTGCTTGTCCCAACAGTGAATTTATCATTGGTAAAAATTCATATTTATTGACAAATAAGCATACTCTCAGAGTTTAATGCTCAACTTCCCATTCCAAAACCGTCAAGGGGTCACATGAAACAATCTTATTACGTAATTAACATGCCCATGTCAAACATATTCATTTAAGTAATGAAAGTACAGCAAACAAAATTAGAGGAATAAATAAAAGAAAGTTGATTCCTAAATGAAGGAGCTAACTGCAACTTACCCAACCAAATCAGCTGCAAGAACAGCATGCAGGAGCTCTGAACGAGATGGCAGTGTCCTGTGAATTTCAGAAGATGGAAATGGGGTGTGGAGAAACCAGCCTACTTTCATTTTGCTGTTATATTTCTTCAAGCATTGTGGAAGAAACATAAGATGGTAATCATGGCACCAAACCACATCACCCTCTTCATAGTGCTTGTTTACAACATCAGCAAACATTTGATTTGCTTTCTGATATGCTACAAACTGAGACTGAAAACTACGTGTGGTAGCAAGACGGTCTTCTTGTGGAAGTCCAAGGTAATGAAAAAGGGGCCACAAAATGTTGTTGCAATAGCCATTATAATATTGATGAACAATCTCTTCATCAAGAAATACAGGGATACACCTCTGCAACACAGGTAACAGTCACCAGAAAGATTTAAGATAAAAATAATAAAATCTAATGCGAAACAGCACATTGATTAATGCAAAAGTCATTTCTGACATTGTGATTGAGAAACTGCAGTACCTTTTCAGCCAATGCTTTAGTAAGTGCCTTCTGCCCAATCTCATCGGGCACATTGACACCGGCCCAACCTATCCACCTCGCCTCAAACTCCTTCACACCTTTGTTAAAGAACGCAGTCGTGTTAGATAACACTTTGTAAATTAGGGGACCAAGTTCATTTCAAAATGTAACAAACTTAAAATTGGGAACCCACCTTCTAAAACCAATCACAGTTAAATATTGTGCAAATTTCAGAGCAGATACAGCCCACTATGACTACTGATATACTAAAAGGTAAAACAGAAAGAACAAATAATTATGAGCCTCATCATCACATACCTAAAAGAGCCGTCACCAGGCCGCCAGCACTCATTTCCAAAGACCACGAATCCTCACCCCTCCTAACTGCTGAGACTGGCAGCCTATTGGCCACCACCAAAAGCCGTTGTCTAAAAAGATTCCCATCTTCCCTTTCGCATGTCTCACTAAGAGCCCTTGCTGCTGCCGCCCCGTTCTGGAGTCGTTCAACATAAGCACCTGAGTTATTGTCTTCTCTTAAGAACAGATCATGCTCAAAAGATTCAGTAACCCCATTATTATTAATATTATCAGGAGACTCATTGGAAAGAGATGCCCTGCCGCTTCTTCTTAGCTCTCTTTCTCTCACAAGTCGTTCAACACGACCCGGTATACTATTAGAATTACCATTATACTTGTTCCCATGCATATGGTCGCTATGGAATCCAACCATTGACGTTGAATATCAATGTCGCAAGTAGCCAAACTTCCTCCCCTGCATTTCGTTTGCAAATAAAAATACAAAACATCCCCAATTCAGCTTCTGATAAAACAGAGTATAAAAGTAGCGGAAAGAACAAAATAATTAAGCATCTAAAGAGAACATAGTATTCTAGTGCCAGAGTAGAAAGTTTTCTACTCACCGAAAATTAAAATGAAATATAGACAATAAGGAGAAAACAATATCCACAAAATTACAAAATGCAACAGGAAGGGGTCAACAGGGTGGGCCCATGAGTTGGAAATTTCATATTCATAAGCCTATACATGGAAATGGAATTATCAGCATCCATGGGTCTGGTACATTCACGGAATACAAACAAAGCAGAGCAATGGGAACATAGGAGGCAGTCGAAATCCTGGATAGTGTTTCGATGAAACATTGCACAAAAGAAGATATATTGAAAATACTCGAGAAGTAAGAGGATTGCCCATCTGATGCAAAGACTTAATCAAGTCATGGAGTAGTGAAAATTACAGGAACAAGTTCAAAGGCTAACTCCGGAGACACCTCGGAAATCAGCGGATGCTGAAAGCAACAGAAAATTCTGGATCAACATGTCAAACTCCAGCTGGGTTAGGGTGCACGGGTAAAGGACAGATGAAAAGGGTACGTAGAGAGTGGGAAATCTGCCGAGTCTGAATGGCAGAGAATAAAAAAAAAAAAAAAAAAAAGGGAAGCAGAATCCTCGTGTGAGCTTTATAAGGCATATATAGCCTCACTGCCACGCAGGTGACACCCAAGATTTTGTTGAAAACAGAAAGAAAATATTTTACTCAGAAAAATAGGTAAGTCCTCGGCGTGAAAAAGATTCTAGAACCAACCCGTAGTCCTCCAACTCCAACATCCTATGTTTATTGTGGCCATTTTCATATATGTAAATAAATTTAGGGAAATCTATTCTTAGGTTGCTAAAAAACAATTTTTTTCTGTCTGCAAAATATATAATTGTAATAAAATAATTTTTTTCTCTTTAGAAATTATCAGCTTATGTGAAAAGAGAAAAACATAATTTTTATATTATAATTATCTACGTATCAAAATACATAATTATAATTGATGACAGAAAAAAAAAATTTATAACAACCAAAGGAAAAAGGGACCCATAAATTTAACGCTTTCTTTTTTCTTTTTCTTTTTTGGTTGATGATTAGAATTATGCACCAATAAGGATATTTAATATTGGTATTTATACAGCGACAGTATAATGAAGCTTATTCCCTTGCAACTGGGTCCTTTTCCCTTCTTGTTTTACCCATCATATTAAACATACTCATGAGAAAGTAAGAGTAAAACCTCATCAACAGTAATTTGTAATATTTAATACAACCTTGTCTTCCACTGTGCTAGTAGTAAATATTAGAAAGTAAACCAAGGGGAATAAAATTAGAGTTTGTAAAGATAAAGAATACGAAAACCACGACAATGAACCATAAAACATGTGACTAAATGGACTGAGATGCCCCCTGGTCCAGGTAAAGCGATAAAAATAGTAATAATTAACAGAAAAGATATGCAACGATGTTATTTTCTCGGGGCGTTTGGTACAAGAGAAATTTTTATTTGTCCGGGAATCTCGATTTTCAAAAATATGATTTTTGCATTCAGTTTACAGTTTACGATAATATCTGAAAATTTAAAATTTAGAAAAATTCAGTTTCCCGGGAATCCCTCAAAATCCCGCGTACCAAACACCCCTAAATGAATGCAAGGGGAGTTCGCAAATTCCGTTGCCAGATACGTGAGATCCAACTTTTAAAAGGAAGGGCCCCCGTAAAGCTACCCGATTACCAGGGAATTCTAGTAAATCATAAATTTGTCATCCATGAGATACCGGTAGGTTAGTCCCCAAATTTTATGGCCCTACACAAAAGAATTGTAGACAGCACGCCCGAAAATCTCATCTGCTAGTGAGACCATTACCTTGACAACCCAATTTGGGGCAAACGGGCAATACATACAAGTTACTAGCAATTCCTGGGACGATATTTTAGATGGTCAAATAAGTTGTTCTAGATGCTCCTCTGATCGAATTCCTAGGTCAACCAAATAATTACATTTTTTAAAGGTGCTAGAATTTCGGAGATCTTCCCAACGTGTTACCAAAATTGCAATCCCTCCACCAAAAAAACAAAACAAAACAAAAAATGCAATCCCTCCAAGTCATGGTCACTTCAACTAGAGAAAACGAGAATTGATGCATGCTGGGTGTGCATCAGGGGCGTTTGTTAGATAATAATTTTTTTTTATCCGAAAATTATTAATTTCAAAAATATAGTGAGAAATTTATTTTTTTTAGAATATTGCTAAAAAACTGTTTGGTAAGCCTACATTTTTTCGGAAGCATTTGATTAATTTTACTGAGTTTAGTTTGTGTTTGGTTGAGTGTGAATATTAACGAGAGTGTGGGATTATTTTACAAAAATAACCCCCATCTTTTACATTTTCATTCAAAAATTATAATAACGTTAATAAAAAAATATATATATATCAAGCTGTCATTGAAAGAAGAAAAGAAGAAACAGATCTGGTACTTGTGTGAGCCACAGTCAAGAGCTCTGTAACCAGATTTCAAAGGAGTGGTACGCATGCTGGTTTTTAGCAGTTCATCAATCAGAAGAATTAACCACAGAAGATATTAGTAATATACAACTTTCGAATGTGTTATCCACATTACACACAATCAAATTTCTTAGTATGAAATGAGATTGTAACCTTCAGCTTGAAATCCTACTTCTGTTCCCCCTTTTCCTTCCATAAAATAGGGTTTTATTATCCCTGTGGAACTTTCTGGAACGAAAACAAATGGGGATAACCAATGTTACTTCCAAGCTTTGACGATAGAGTATATCATCTTCCTCAGATTCAACAAGATAGACGGAGGGAGCTGATGTAATTTGGTACCGGATATGGCCAACACAATACTTCACAAATCGTAAAAATCACAGGGTTAATTTGGTCCACCTAATCGTTGTTCATTTTTCACTTCCCCGGACAAGCAAGAAATCCAACTAATCTATGGTATTTCAATGATGGTGTCTGTACAGAACTTTGCACACAATTGCAAAATCCGGAGAAAAAAAATACCCAAAAAACTTTTCACTTTTTTGCTACCAAACGTGGTATTCAAATTTCCCCTAGCATGCTTTTCCAGGAATTGAACACTACCTAAAAAACACGGAATGTTGAACAGATTTCTAACCTGCCTTACACGTAATATTAGTATGATAGTATCCTTGTATAAATTTTCCATTGCAACCATAGCAAGTCTTATTTTCAAAAGGTACAGAGGGAATATTCTTACTACTAAAAAAATCTACTACCAACTCATTATTTATATAATTACCATTGGATCAGCATTTTCTCTCTTCTCATAAATTTTTTAACATTCTCTTTCTTTGATTCAATGGTGATTAAATAAATAGTGAGTTGATAATGAATTTTTTTAGTAGTAAGAATATCGCTGTACAACATATAGCTATATGTATCCCAATTATGGAAAGGATGTGTCAAGGCCCGAACTGTAGGGTTTATATTTCTAAATTCTAATAAAAAAGAAAAAGAACATACCGTATAAAGCATTTTAACAATCTTAACATAACAAGTAGAATTTTGTCTTAAAAATCCATACATTTTTTGGATATTAACCCAACCAAGCCTACACTGCAGCGGTTTTCTTAAGAGAATTTTAGGAACTAAGCTTCCCTTGATCAGTGAAATGACCTAACCAAAGTGGAACGCGATTGCTTACTAGGGGGAAGTTGACTTCTTCAAGAGCAACGTGTTGAAAATAATTAGAAGCATCTGAGACAACATGATAGCTTATAGCACAAGAGTCAAACTCATAAAGTTCGACATATGCTGGTCAAGAATGAGAAAGAGGAGTTCGTCCATTATCTTATAACTTTATGTCGACTTATTATTGGCATCATTCTTTTTTATGTTTAACATAACGAGGACAAAAGTTTAGATTAGGGGAAAATATGCTCCCTTGCCTAGCATCATTCTAATTAGCGGGTATGAATCGAATGTCGTTATGGTAAAATAATATAATTGATGTATACCAAAATAATAATAATAATAATAATAATAATAATAATAATAATAATATTGATGTAATATTTTACTGATTTAATTATTATTTCATTCATGGGGTTATATCCCCATTTTTTACTTATTTTCTTTAGCATGTGAATTTCTCCCGCCCCTCAAACTACTCAGTTTATTACAGTATTTTCATCTGTAGACATTAATATAATAATAAAAGAGAAAAATCACGTTCTCCTTTTTTTAAAAAATAAAAATAAACGTACGTTTAACTAGTGAAATAGTTGAGGTGTGCCTAAACTGATGTGAATACTATCTAATGATTATATAATAAAAAATATATATGAATTAAATTTAATACCAATTTATTACAGTAAATATATCTTTGGAGTGTAAATTTTACGTAATAATGTTGTATATTATTTTTTACTGAAAATGATTATTAAACAGTAATTTAAATAACTCAATATATATTTACTAAAAGATTATTTAATAATAAAGTTTACTTTTGATATTATACAAAAATTATATTATATATAAGAATAGTTTAAAAATATATTTCCAGGTTTTAATTAAAGAAAAAAATCACAACTAAAATGTATAATATCAAAAATATTTCCAGGTTTTAAAAAATTTTAAAAATAAACATTTCCAAAAACAATAATATAAAAAGAATTAATAAAAATAAATTTGACTTTAAAATCACTTAAGAATAATTACGAAAACAAAAATTTAAAAATAAATAAATCAGACAACAAAAATGTAAATCACTCTAGAATAATTCTTGGTGAGAAACTAGATCAAGTGCACTCAACTAGTAAAACCCCTTTGGCCTATAGTTTATATTAAAGGTGGCAAGTTCATCGGGTGCACCGCCAAATGGAATGAGACGGGTTAAATTCTTCAAACTCGCCGTTGCCAAGTCCGACAGTACACTTGGGTTAAAATTTTATTTTTTTATTTTATTTTATAATGTAAAATGTTATTAAAGCAGTCTAAGTTTTTTAGTCCACTTTGAAAAGCAAGACTGGGCGGCCAACCCATTTTTGAATGGGCTTATATGGGCCTGGGTGAGATGAACCGCCCGCTTTCCCAGAGCTGTGGTCTATATTCAACCTTATCAGTTATAATTTTCTTCTGACCCCACCGGCAGTCAATTTGCTTATATCTCCGCTCTCAAAACTGATCTAAAAGATGCACCGGGAGATCTCCAAAAAGAAAAAAAATAAGATGCACCGGGTAATGTACTCGAGATTTTATTCCCTCCAGCAGCATGGTTCCCAACAGTGCCCTTTGTAAAAGGCAAATAAAATGAAGGAATAGTATTTCTCGTATGGTAAGAAATAATTTTATTTTTTATGTATATATAAAAATATGTGGGAGGCCGTTAATTTTTTTTTCTCTTTTTCATGTAACACCACATAAATTATTTGCTAGAGAAACATTAATTCACGTCCTATTTCCCCAACAATATTAATTAGTAACCTGGAAGTACAACTAAAAAGACTAGAGGTCCTGAAAAAGCGGAGTTAACAACAAAAAATGCAGAACTAATCCACACCTCGGCACCAAGCACACAAGCCAAAACTATTGAATAAAGAGAACCATTTTTACTGGCATTCTGTCCTTGAATAAGCTTGCTTTCCAAAGTTGGACAGCTGGGGAGCATAATCTTCTTCATTGTTATCAAGATAATTAGACTACTAAAATTTTGTGCCATTAAGGTAATCTCCTGAC